TCCTGGCTTCTCTCGAGATCACAAAGTCACTAAAAACGATTTAGCCCTACTTCAAACTTTCCAGTCCTGGCAAGTTTCTGATTTTCCTGCAGAGACATTATAGTGATAAGCAACTACATCCAATTCTTAGGTTACACAGAGAGGGCAATTAGCATTTGTTAGCAACTTAAGAACACCCTACTTCTACGGTTTTCTGTGTTTGAAGCAAAAAAACCCCACAAAACCCAAACCAAAAAAGTCTTCCTTATCACCTTTTTAGTCAGGCAGCATGCCTTGGAAGACAGGTTTCCACCGACAATTCATTTAATACTTTTAAAAAAATTACCTGTGACTGAACAACTGCATTAGGAAATTCAAACCGCTTCTTGATGTCATCCAACATTTTAGCTCTGTTATACGACACTGCAAGAGAGATTAAAAAAATATACTTAGCACTAGGAAAGAAAGCGTGCTATTTGACAGAAAAAAATGCACAAGATTTATGTTGTACTTAACAGCAGATGTAAGCATTAAAGTCTACCATACCACTCTGCTTTATGAGCTTTAACCCAAGAAATGCTGAATACTCATTGGTCTTGCACAAAGAATGGGTGACTGACAATTCTTAAAGCTGGAGCATACAGTTCCATACAGAGCACACAGTTCCATATGGCACAGCATATGTGTACTCTGACAACATTAAGTACATTTCATTGACTTAAAAATGGGACAGCTTCAGAGGAGCGTTCACAGTTTCTAAAACACTATTTAAAATACAAAATTCTTCACAAATTTTAGAATTAGTTCATGGAAAAACAGAAGTAAAAAAACCAAAAGACCCACCTGTGAGAGTGCAAATGGTAATGACAGTTACAGGCTGGAATACTTGACAAAAAAAACCTTCTCTATAAGTAGGAATATGCAGGCACCCACAAGCACAAAGGAACCTAAATTGGAGAGAAATCAGAACTCAGCTTACCTTGTTGCACACCAGTGAAACTGATGGTAAACAGCAAATATTCAGACATTTCAGTTTACTGTAAACACACCTCCAGTCACTTGGGATGCTTTCCTTAAAACAATTTAAAAACCTAGCACTTGCTGAAAAATTAAGTGTAATCCTTTGCAATATGCACTGAGAAAACATATACATGCACAGTACTCCAACCTGAGGACATGCTATCAGTGTGATGTGTTCAGAATCTTGCCACTTATTTTCAAAAAGACATAATTAAACCCACACGCGAATGCAGAATATGCAACAATAAATTCCATTCACAGCAGGAAAACTTAAAATTAATAGTTACTACCTCAATGAATATAAATTCCTGGCAGTTAAGCAGCAAAATACTCCCACATAGTTATGCATTACATTTCTGAAAATTTAGGAGGAAAAAACCCCAACTGTTAGTTGCACTCAGAATGATGCAAGTATGGGATTACGTTGTTTTAATTGCATTTTGAGACAATAAGTGTCCATATAATAAATGAACACATATTAGAGTCGACATCTTGGTTTTTTAAAAAAGAAATATGATTGCTACACTGAACAATTCCAGACATACCTAGATCTGTTGAGCATGTCTAATAACGCCAGTGGATCTAGATGCATTCAACCTATTTGTACGTACCTACTGAGTCACAAAAACCAAACCCCTCCAGTTTGACCTAACAAGCAGCAAAATGACGGAAGGTTTCTTCCTGGGTTCTTTTGACACAACCACACTGGAAAGACATGCTATTTGCCACCAGGTAATTTTTACTATTCATATTAAATGGAGAAACTAGAGAATCATTAGTACAGTACATATTTTCAACAGAAGTGACTAGAAGTCTATAAGTAGCCCTCATCAGAAACAATTCCTCCATTTCAATCAATCTACACCAAACTTCTACAAGATACTTACAATGCTACAGCTATATCAATGCAATTTAATGAATTTAAATACCATCTCAACAGTCTTCTGCATTCACCCTCAGCAAATTCACTGAGTCAAGAGTTTAGGTTAGAACAAAGATCTCCAGGTCATCTAGTCCAAACCCCTCATCCAAACTGCTCTGATTAGATCAGCTTGCTCTACGCCAAGCCCAGTCAAGTCCTGAAAACCACTAAGGATGGAGTCCCTGAATATGTTGTCCCAATATTCAACAACACGCAAAACAAAATTTTTTTTCCTAATGCCAAATAGGAATCTTGATTTGTATATAATACATTTTTTACTTGTATATAGCCAGTTTGTGCCCATTGCCTCTCATCCTATTGCTGTGCAGTTCTGAGAATGATCTGGTTCCATCTTTTCTGCATCCTTCCACCAGGATGCAGAATCGGCAATCGGCAATCATATTTCTCCTTTGCCTTCCCCCCTCCAAGCTGAACAGGTACAGCTGTCTTAGCATCCCCTTGTATGTTTTGTCCTCCAGACCCCTGACCATCTCCATGGCCCCTACTGGACTTGCACCAGTGTCCTTCTTGAACTGGGAAGCCCAAATTCTGGATGTAGCACTCCAGATGCTCTCTCACAAGTACCAGTCAGAGGGGAAAAATCATGGTCATAGATGTCACATTCTTACTAGTACAGACAAAGATGAGTTGACCCTCTTTGCTGCCACACTGCACTGCTGATCACATTCATAGAATCATAGAATTGTCTAGGTTGGAAGGGCCCTTTCAGATCTAGTCCAAACACCAACCTAACACTGACAAAAACCATCACTAAGCTGTATCTTTAAGCACTATATCTACCTGTCTTTTATATATCACCAGGGGTGTGACTCAGCCACTTCCCTGGGCAGCCTGTTCCAAGTATGACTTATAAAATAGAACCTCAGCATCACCTAAGTCTGGAGCTAGTGAAGAAAAACAGAATACACCCTTTTCTTGACCCAGTGTCATGCTTTTTGGCACTGAAGACATGAAAGCTATCAAGATTATGTCAAGACTTAGACACTGTGAAAAGAAAGAAATAAAACAGGTCAGAGGTTTTTCTCCCCTTCTTCAGTTTCAGTAGCTACTTTAATTTGGAGACTACTTTCTATTAATTTAAAAAATATAAAAAACATGAACAATTGCTTTGTCACCTTTAGGAACCATTGTTACTGCCCACTCTTGTCAGTATGCGAAGCCTCTTTATAAATAAGTATAACCACCAGTATTTCTTGCAGCCCCTTTCTCTTCTTCCTAGGAATAGCACAATTTCCACACAATAAAAAACAAGTAGGGCCAGGCTCATGAGAGCTGGCAAGGGGGTTGTACAGCCTAGCAGCGACAGCCTTGAAAAATACTGACAAGCTTTATCCCAGCTTTTAATATCTGGGACAGCATTCTCTTCCAAGAAAACACTTCGCACAATCTTTTCTAACATTAACAACTTAGAGCATTGTGTAATTTATTTCCACGTTGCAACTGACAGAGATCATTAGCATTAAACAAAATACAGCCCTTGCAAAAAATGCAGCGTCACCCTGAAACAAATCCATCCATACCCAAAACAAGCTCCACATGAGCAGTTCTTTCTCATTTCTCTGCCTCCAAAAATAAAAAATAATACAGGAATACTACAAAAGGGAGTAAGTATCTTGCAATTTCTTACAGTAGTCCTCTCCTAACAGATTAGAAAGGACCCTCTAAAATTGTTGGTCTCAGCAGACTGACTACTAAATATCCTAAAGCTTATCCCAGGCATCTCAACAGCATACCTTGTTAAGCTGTAACTAATTCCATCTCACTTCTCCTAACATCTTTTTTGGTTTGTTTGTCCTAAGCTGTATTTCTCTTATTCTCGTTGCTGAACGGGCACTCTGTACCATCAACCACACATGTAAAAAACCACCCAACACAAACCAACCCCCAACACACACATGCGTGCAAAAGACTAATTTAAAAAATACAAGGGAGATGAAAGAGACCCTTGCTTGTTTTCCCAACATAATTAACGTGCATGGTAAGTATCTGTGGTGGGTTGAGCTTGGCTGGCTGCCAGGTGCCCACCAAAGCAGCTCTATCACTGCCCTTCCTCAACTGCACAAGGCAGATAATATAATGAAAGGCTCATGGGTCAAGATAAGGACAGGGAGATCACTCAGCAAAACAGACTTGACTTGGGGAATTAATTTATTGCCAGTCAAATCAGAGCAGGATAATGAGAAATAAGAAGAAATCTAAAGACACCTTCCCTACACCTCTCCCTTCCTCCTGGCATTAACTTCACTCACTCCAAAGTTCTCTTAACTCTTCCCCATGAACAGAGCACTGGGACAGGAAACGAGGGTTATGGTCATGCTGTTCCCCTGCTTCAGCATGGGGTCCCTCCCATGGGAGACAGTCCTTCATGAACTTCTCCAATGTGGGTCCTTCCTGCAGGCTCCAGTTCTTCACAAACTGCTCCAGCGTGGGTCCTTTATATGGAGTGGGGTCCTTCAGGAACGGATTGCTTTAACACAGTCCTCCATAGGGTCAGAAGTCCCGCCAGAAAACCTGCTCAAGTGTGAGCTCCTCTCAACAGGTCCTACCAGGAGCCTTCTCCAGCGTGGGCTTTCCACGGGGTCACAGTCTCCCTCATGCACATTCACCTGCTCTGGCATGAGGTCCTCCATGGGCTGCCGGAGGATATTCTGCTTCATCATGGTCTTCACCACAGGCTGCGGAGGAATCTCTGCTCTGGCACCTCCACCACCTCCTTCCCCTTCTTCTTCACTGACCTTGGCGTCTGCAGAGCTGTTGCTCTCACATATTCTCACTCCTCTTCTTTGGCTGCTGTTGCACAGCAGTTTTACCATTTCCTAAATGCTTTATCCCAGAGGCACTATCACTGATGGGCTCACCCTTGGCCAGCAGGCACTCTGTCTTGGAGCCAGCTGGCCTTGGCTCTGTCAGACACAGGGGGAAGCTTCTGGCACCTTTTCACAGACGCCATCCCTATATCTCCCACCCTACCAAAAGTGTGCCCCACAAACCCAATACAGCATCTAAACACTAAGAAGGACAGGGGCTGCTAGCGCAACTGGACTAGGGAGGGGCTGTCATGGCATCACACCTTCAGATCTGCTCCATGCCATTTACCAGAAGTACTTATGACAAGGTAAGCTAAGTTAAATAACAGAAATCGATCGCTGGGAGCAGTGATATCACATTTCCTACATTTACTGCGTTTTGCCCGCTGTTAAGGGCTCCTGATTCAAACGGGTTTTCCCACCAAACCAGCAGAGTGAGGACACCCACAAACCGGCGCAGCGCCCCTGTGCCACACGCACCGCCCTTCACCACTCCTCAAAGCAACCCGGTTTAACCGGCACAAATAAACTTTTTTTTTTTTTTTTTTTTAACAAAACCGTTCATTAGACTATGAGAAGATCCAGTTGGCATTTGCTATTACATGTTTGGGTTTTTTTTTTTTTTTTTTTTAACAAAACAACAAAGCAACCCACCCACCTACAACCGCGTAAGGGCACCAGTCGCTGTCAGGTCGCTGCCGGCCGGGGCACCCACCGCGGTGCCAGGGCCTCGCAGAGGCCGCCCGCCCGTCCCGCTGCACACACGGCGCGTCCCAGCACAGCACGGACGCGACAGCGGCCACCGAGGGACGGACAGACGGACGGACAGACGGACGGACAGTCCTCCACCACTACCCCTCAGCTACCGCCCGGTCCCCCCGCCTCTCCCAGCCCCGGCCCTGCGCCCCCCGCCTCAGCGCGGGCGGCGTCCCGGGAGCCGGGCCCGCCCGCACAAACCAGCGCGGCCGCCTCCCGCCGCTCCGCTCCGCTCACCTCGCCTCACCGCGCCGAGCAACCCTCGGCCGCCCCCAGCACCTCCCCTCACCCCGGAACAGTGAGGCGATCGGCCACCCCCAGCGGAGAAAGCGCCTGCGCGGCGGCGGGTGCATGCGCGGCGGCGCCTCCCGCGCTGAGGGCGGTACGGCAGGAGCCGCGGGCGCTGGCGGCCCAGGCCTGCCCGCGGTCGCACAAATCCGGCGAGTTTTTGAAAGCGGTGCCGCCGTAGCGAGGCGGGTCCGAGCCGCCGGGATGTTTCTCCGTGCTGCGGCATGGTTCCGTGCTGTCCAGGCCCGCCGGCTGTTCCTCGGCCGCAGGGGTTACCGTGTTCCGGGATGCTCTCCTCGTCCCACCCCGGTGCCCTGGGCCCAGGCTGCTCTGCGGGATGTGAGGCATTAATTAGTCTAAGGGTGGGCCGGGCTCGGGCCCTTCCTGACAGCCGAGCCGAAATGCAGGCTTGAATCCAAAGGCTTCAACAGAAGCATCATAACATGGGTTGAAATGGGAAAGGTAACTCTTTCCAGGAATTTGAAAAGGGCTAGATTATGATGTAATGTTTCCCAAGGGTGCATACTGTGGGTTGGTTTGAGCTGAAAGTAGTGAAATGTTGACAAGTGTGAAACAAAAGTAAATGTAGGTAAGACCATCTTTTTTTTTTTTTTTTTTTTTTTTTTTTTTTTTTTTTTTTTTTTTTTTCTTTTACTGTTTGTTAGTTTTGCAAGACTAGGGAATTGCTTAGTTTCTTAATGTACTGGCTCCAGGTTCACCAACTAAAGCCATAGGCAGTTTACGGCCTCCAAAGAGTCCTGCCCTTATTTCCATTTTTTTTTTTTTTTTTTTTTTTTTTTCCTTTTTTCTTTTACTGTTTGTTAGTTTTGCAAGACTAGGGAATTGCTTAGTTTCTTAATGTACTGGCTCCAGGTTCACCAACTAAAGCCATAGGCAGTTTACGGCCTCCAAAGAGTCCTGCCCTTATTTCCATTGGATTGGTGGGAAAGCACACACTGACACTTCCAAGAGCCACAAAAAGCCTGAAAATGAACCAGAGGACAAAACTGTATTCTCTTGAGCTGCTTCAGTGGGTGTGTGTGAAGTGAAGATCAGTCAGATCCTGGGTTATTTTCTCCAGGAGGCTTCTTCACGGTAACTTTTTGCCAGCAGCACATGCAAGTATTTGTGATGTGGCTTTCAGCTCACTACACTGACCCAAGATGGGCTCACAAGTCTGCTTGCTGCTGGAGCTGCAGTATTCCAAGATCAGCTAAAAGGGCCTGGAGGACCTTTCACAGTGATGCATTTCATTCCGTCTCTAGGTGACCATAGGAAATGGCATGAATCAAAATACAACTCTTAGTCTCCTCTTCCCATTCCATCCTTTCTGCTTTGTCTAAGAGCATCTTGCTGTTGACAGGTTGGTTCTTCATTGACATGCTGTGTGATATTTTGGGTTTCTTACTCTCCATTTAGTTGCCGAGACGTGGTGAGACATCCACTGCTGTCTGAAGTGTCTTGTCCCTGACTTATGCTGCTTGGTACCCTGTTCTGCCAGTAACCTAAGCGACAGCTAGACCCACAACTTTTGAATTGGGCTGTGAAATCACTGAGTCTTGAATAGGTGCAGCATAACACAGGCCTGAAGGCCACGCTGGACATGCAGAGAAGCCTTGTCCTGCTCCTGCTTGGGGTAGCTCTGATGTGGGTCTCCAACTCTTTGATGTCTCCTGGTCAGAATCAATACATTCCACATACATTTTAGCTTCCCAAAGATACTATAAATTACAGATCACAATAATAACATATGGGCTTCTCTGGCCCAAAGTGCAAGGCCCAATAGAGCAGACATGGCCTGTCCAAGAGCACTGACTCCTGGGATACAATGTCTTTTGCAAGACTCCAAATACAGCTTGTCAAGTCCCTGCCTGGTGTACTGGTGGGGCAGAAGCTGCTTCAGTCCCAACTGCCGCCACATCGACTCTTGCAGTATATAGACATGGGGACTGCGGATGTATTTGATAAGCTGCTTTGTTTTTCTGTTTGCTTTTTTCCCCCCATCTCGATAGAGGCTATTTTTGTCTCTTGCCACATAGCCTTTTAGCTAACCAGCTTTTCTTTTTGAAGCTGATGCAGAGCTTGCCTAGACAGGTGAAGTGTGTCTCAATAGCATGTTAACCAAGGAAACTTCTTTAGTCAATGTGCCAGCTCTGTGTTACGCCCAAGAGAGGAGACCCCTGGTCTTGGAGTACGGTGCTAAACTTGCTATTGTCCAAAAGAGCATTAGCCAAAATGGCTTTCAGTTAGATTAAAATTGCAATTAAATATCTCAAAGGGAAAGGAGCATATAGACTTTGGAAATATTTTGATGCTGACAGTTCTGATCCTGTTTATACTGTGGAGCATCTTGCTTTGAGAAGCTTCTCACCAGAGTGGCTCCATTCTTGGCATTAGGATAGGAGGGATATCACATCCATTCTCTGGACTCTGGTGTCTAATTCCCAGCACTATTTCAAAACCCTGAGTGTCATGTAGGTCATCTCAGGAGGGTGCATGAGGGATTGAGCATACATAACTCAAACACTCACAAATGACTTTTGGTAGCTTCAGGTCCTAGCTTGAGACAAAAGGAATCCACCTCATCTGGATGGAACCATTTACTGTCCTATTGTGGCGTATGAAGAAATCACGGACTCGTAGGTCATGCAGCAAGCGAATCCAAAAATCCAATTCGACCATCGACCCTCTTCATTGCTACACAGAGAGACTTTTATACACTAAGACAGAAACCTACACCCCCCATAATGCCCAATCATGGACTTACAAAAATATTTTTTTACCTTCTACTGAGCTTATCACAATAACAATTATTCTACTATCAAGACAGATTTCAGTTCCCAGGCTGTGCTCTGTTTTTTGTCAGGATGTGCTTCAGGATGCAAAACTTGTATGTCTCACTCCTCCCCTGCTCTCAAGGTCACTACTGGCACACACTGTTGCTCCAGATGCAAGTAAATCTTAACTATGTGAGCGACCTTTCACTGAGCCCACATTCTATGGTCTTGATTTTTTTCCTATGCCCAGAAAGAAGATGATGTCTGTTAATGGACGTGCTTAAATTCACAGACATTACTTTTGGTTGCCTTTCAACTTGCAGGTCTTCTAGACCCTGGCTGTGAAACTGAGATGCACTTTCTGTAGTTTTCTGAAGTGACGTTCCCAGTTTCCGAAGTCTTCCACTAAAGAAATACTTGGAATCTATGAAGGCAACATCAGTGCCAAAGTCATAATTGGGCTTGATTCAAAGCAGGTCATGCCAGCTGCAGATTATGCTGCAAAATCTGCTTTCACTAGTCAAATTTGAAAGAAATTTGACACTTCTGGGAGATGTCTCCAACATAATTTCCTGTTGGTCTTAATGTGGCCTGTCTGTTATATAGAAAACAATAAAAGTAGGATGCAGTTAGCTTGGACTGAACTGCCAAATAGGCTTACTACCCTCCACTTCCTGCAACAAAAGTTTTTGCAAAGGACAGTAAATGCATGAAAATTGCCCTGTTTACTGGCCTGTGAATTCTCTTTCAGGAAAGAAACTAGACTGGAGTCTTTGGCTTCAGTTACACTTTTTCTATCATGTTGTGGGGTTTTTTTATCAGGGGACAGTCCTTCTGTGAGGGGTGATGCGCTAGTAATGCTCTCCAAGTAGTGCCAGAGGGTTCTCTTGGTAGCTTTTGTCATGTGCTGTGAGATCTTCCAGTGAAGTTTATGATCCAAATGAAAGTCATATAGTAACAGCACTGATAATGACATAATCTGCGTATCTCATTTCTTATATGGAATTTTACCCAAGTCAGAAAGTAATTCTAGCTTTAAAAATGAAGGAAAGGAATAAGGAAAGTCACAGTTTAGAATTTATTGCAGAAATCAATAGCAGCAAAGGCTGCCATTATTAAAATTTATTTTTCTAAAATCTCTTAAGCCTCATAATAAAAAACAGTTTTAGCAAATGGGCTTTGTCAGCTATGTCTTTAGCCTTTATTATTAAGATTAAGGCTTATTTAAAATGCATTAAACTTTTAGATGCAGCTGCTTTTACTGCAGAAAGTAGCCTTTCTTGTTTTGGTTAGGGTCTTCCACACCTGCAGCTCCTTTAGTTAACAACAGGAGAAAGAAGCTTCTATTCTGCATAGACTGATTTAAATAAATAAATAAATGAAAGGCAAACTCCAAACCCTTTGGCAATGAATATATGTAAATTGAACAGAATATTCAGATATCCAGTATTATATAGTTCCATTTTGCTAGAAGACCGGCAGCGTATCTGTGACTAGGTTTACAGTAAAAAAAAAAAAAAAAAAAGGTAAAACCCCTTAGAATCTGACTCTGAGATACTGAGCACTGTTACCTGGATGGAGCTCAGGGTGTTTTGCAGCTCCGAGGGAACAGCTACATCAGTTGAAAGAAGGCCTTTATGGACACCAGTGAACAGCCACAGCGGTGTCCCACAGCACCTGGGCAAGAAATGCTGAAGAGGCTGGTGAGTTGGCCAGGGCTAGCCACCACCCAGCAGCCCCTACTGATGAGGAGTGTCTGGGACCCAGCCAAGCAGTTGAGCCTGTGGCTCAGGGTCTGGACCAGCAAGGTAGGAGGCCAGACACTCACCTGGCTGTGCCATGGCTCAGGAAGGCTCTGGGTGAGCAGCTCCTGGTGAAGCAACGGTGCTCCCGTGGAGGCCCTTCATCACACAGCTTGTTCCTGCAGTGGGGCTTGAGCACGGACAGTCTAACCCCTAGGGAGGGGGAAGGACCTGGCTCGTTCTACATGGACGTCTGCTTCTCTATTCCTGTGATTTGCCCTTAGAGTGGAGGGTGCCGGGGCATTGTTGAGTCATTTATCTGTCTGAGCAATCTCTTGGTGTTTATACATTTGCTAATTTGTTAATCTGATGTTGGTTTTGAGCACCTAAAAATGAAAATTGTAAACAGGTTTGGATTGTTGAGGCATGATTGCAGCTAAAATAAAGGGATCCCAGGAAGCTTTTAATTTTGTGCACATTAACTGTTAGTATTTCCTTTCATTATTGAGGTTCATTATTCTTGAAAAACTGCAAGTGAGGTAAAATGGCTTGGGATTTTTAAGTGGTGTATTTGGCACTTTGGCTCCTGGATGCAAGTGGCCAGATGGGAAGTTGTAGGAGACAGCAGTTTGTCTTCCAGCTTTCCTGACTGTAAAGCTCTC